GGTAAGGCTATAGTAAGGCTATAGTAACCACTTTCTTTATAATTAGAGGCATTTTCTGTGATGTGTAATTGTGAATTTCTTTTGAACACTTACAGTCGACCACTGGGAACAATGAGATGGAAAGCCTCATACTCATAATGGACTGGTAAGAAGAGAATGTCAGAAGTTTAGTCTGTGGAAAATGTTACACATTTTAGCAATTGATGACATCATTATTGTTTTGGTTGTGCGTCCAGGTCAGTGCTGGTATGCAAGTATGACTGCATCAACCTGGTGTGTCAGCAGTTCATTAGGATCTCTCTTAACGCTGCGGACACCATCTCATCTTAATTTTAAAAAAATGTTTATTTATTCAAAATAGTTATACATTTCTGTAGTACAAAATGCAAATACATTGCTGATCTACCTATTTACCTATTATCTATTTTTACATATTTAAAAAAATGAGGCTCTTGGTAACCAGTACCAATGAACCCAAACTGCTGATAATCAGTTCAGAAAGGCATGACACGCTGTCCCTTTTGTCTTCTGGTCTTTTTTCAGTTCCTCATCTGATATTCATTCTTTTTCTAAATGCCTTTAGGGGTTTCGTATGTGTATTTGTCCGTCTATTCTACTTCTCCTCCTAGTCAGTGTTCAAGTAACATAAACACAACTGCTCTTTTCCAAGAAGGACCAGAAAGTCTCCACTGCAGTGCCAGCTCAGTGATTGGACCTGGAAGCCACCTGGAGGGAGACACAGAGACAGTTTCAGCTAAAACCAAAGACAGTAAATGGGGACAGGAATAGATAAGAATTCACCAATTACATTATGGACGACATCTAATGATTTGATTCCTCATCAATTGTGATTAGGATACAAAAAGAAATTGTTTGCATTTTCTATTTAATGTACAGTATGCTTAACTTTTGGCTTAATTTTGACATAATTAAAACTGCATTGAAAAAAAGATCTTGTTAACATAAACACACACCTGAATATCCAAACTGCTGCATACATTTTTTTTTTCAATTAAAAAGGTATGCGGCGACCTCCGAGTCAGGAAGTCGGAAGTAAAAAAGTATGAATGAGCCTGACGGTGACTCTGCCTTAGTAATTTAGTAAAAGAGTCAAATGGAGGTACCTCATACCTTGCCATCTTGTAAACACCCTAAAACAAATTTTAGTTTTCAAGTTCTCAGTTACTATCCCTAACAGTAAGTACCCTGACAACAGTATGTTTACCTTCAGTGGCGACTGGGACAGAAACGCAGCCCGACGGTGACCAGAGGTAAAGTTTGGTGTTGCCTGTGCACAGTGCCAACCGGGGGCGGAGAGGATCCCACTGAAAGCAGCGCACTGATGATGTCTGCTCAAGTACTGACACCAGGCTCATCTTCTGCATGTCCCACACCCAGACGACACTGGCCGCATTGTCTACAGTTGGAGAAAAAGATGGGTTTAAAGTCACACCCTTCATACAGAGCTGCGAAGAACTGCAGTACTGGACTATGCTGGAGATACTATTTAAACAATGATCAGTTTTATTTATCTCAACATGGAGGTAAACACCCACAGTTGTCTCACCATTTTTGGTGGCTAGAAAGCGACTATCTGAGCTGAATGCCAACATGGAGACACCGATCTTCGGATTGGCTCGATCAGGGTCTGGTTTGACTGTGGGAAATTGAACTGGCAGTGGGCAGATCTCATCTGAAAGAAACAAAAACAAGCCTTAGTTGACATTTGGACCGCAACACTTCGTATTGGAGATTAAATCAGACATACGTACATTTGCTGTGGGCGTTGAAGAGGTTGGTGCCAATGCTAATGTTGTGCAGCGACAGGTCATCACTGCAGGCAGTTAACTTCATCTCTGCTTCTTTATACACAACCTAGAAACACACCCGTTAATAAGTGTTTGGTATGTGGTGTCTTTAAAGGTTTTCAATAAAAGATACTCACAGCTTTACTACTGCTGATGGTCGACGGATGGTCAAACTGTGCTATTTTCTTCCATGTGATATGATTGAGAACTCGAACCTGGTGTGAGAATTAAAACATTGATTCATCTGGAATTAATTATTAGTGATAGTGATTACTTATTATCATATAAATCACGATTAGTCCAACATCCCTTTACAACTTTACAAAAATAAAGAAACCTTATATGACATTTTCCTAAAATATCCACAAGGTTCACTAGTTCTTTCATACCTTTTCATCATAACTGCCAATGGCCAAGAATTGGCTGCTGGGACTCCAGGTCACAGACTTGACCCCTAGTGACCACTCATAGGCACTGTAGCTAGATAACAATCTGCCATCCAAAGAATACAGCAATACTTTGTACTGTGGGAGAAAAAATATGCTTTTTAACAATGGTTCATAACTGGACAGGTGTGCAGCTAAAGGCCATTTTTTCTTTTTGCAGACATAAATAACATTTGTACCAAGCTAAATCAAAAGGTGGATACATACTTGAGATTAGCAATCAAAAAAAATGATTATCAAATCAAAACTGTTCATTTTCTGCAGTGATTTTCTTTAAGATGCTAATCACTAAATCTTTAAAAATAAAAAGGACAAGGAATTTTGGATGTTTTTTTAAAGGTGTCAAATGTTCCTGTCTAATTGTACCATTTTATTTTTAATTGCTGAAATGCAACATAAAAGCAGGAAAAAGTTTAATTAAAATGTCAGCTTGTTGTTGATCATTCTGAATGTAAAACACCCACCTCCAGAGGACTGTCCCACACTGCCAACAGAGAACCATTGGGAGACCATTCCAACCCTGCCAAGTCCAGCGTCTCGGTCTCAAAATGCTACAGAAAGAATGAAATTAATTGAAAAAAATACTCCGACACAAAATAAAGTGCACAAGAACGATACAAACACACACAAGATGACAACAATCTTTGATTTCACAAAAGCTGCTCTTTGATTTACTGTCTGTGACAGTGTATGTAAATGACAAAAATGTGTTGGTGAAAATATACTCAGTGTAGAAAACAAGGAAACAAATAGGAACTTAACCAATGCAAGAACCTGAATGGTGCAGAGCATTAGGCAAATGTCTTCCTAGAGGACATCATCAAGTAACTTGTGTCCTCACAGTGTAGACAAACACTAGTAGTTTATTGTTTGTTATTCTAAGAATTAGCTAAACACAAAATCTCCTAGCATTTTCGCCAAGCTTTCGAAAATAAAATTGTGGTCAAAAAAAAAAAAAAAAAAAAAAAAAGAGAATGTAGAATTAACCATAATGTGGCCACTGCTTTCTAAACCCTTTTGTTGTCTCCTATTTTCTGGCTCTTTAATTTTATTAGTCAAGTAAATTCAATTGTCCACGTCAGTACTTTCGTTCAATGTCATCAGATGTGGTGTGAAAGGGTATCAAATTGTCTTTTGTTGGTCTTTCTGATGGTAAAAGGCAGAGTAATTAAATACTTCTCCACTAGATGGCACTATATGGCTATAAGTCATGCGAGTACATCAGCATTGTGTTCAACTAAAGAGGCCCAGGTTTAGTACTTGATTTAAATTGAAAACATATCATATTTCATTACATAAACTCTTTAACACATTTTTATTCAGTGGTGAGCTGGTCTACTTCTCTAACATAAAATATGTGCCGTGGCTCGAAAAAAGTTTGGGAACACTGGTCTAGGTGTGAGACAGAGATGGCTCGTTATAAAAAAACCATGGGTAGTGTATTTCTGCTGACACATTGTTGTTAACCCTATATCCCTTTGTATACCTCTAAAGTGAGTGGTTAATACAGAAATGGCAAAAGACCCAAAGTGAAACTCTGAACTTACCCTCAGTAGATGCCAGTCATCGCAAACAAAAACACTGACATAGTCTTTGCAATCACGACGTTCAGCCAAGGCCATGTAGCCACCATTTTTACTGAAGTCCACAGCTGTGGAAGACAAAAAACATTAAAATATGCATTGTTTTATCAACAGCTACAAGCTTAAGCTCTAAATGATCTGCATAATTGACACATATAAAGAAAAGACAATAACAATAGTATAATTTAGTGTGACTTTTTCAGGAAATTATTAGCATAGTATTTTACTGAGATCAAAAGTTGGCGTATCCAAATGACAAAAATAAAATGAAAGCTAAGTGTTTTAAGGCAAATGAGTGTATTTTTAGTCATTTTGAGAAACTTTTATTTCCAGAGATTTGTTCAGGAACTTATTGGTATAGTATTATACTGTGATCCAAAGTTGGCGTACCAAAAAAAAGTATATTTTTTCTGAATTTTAAACACAAAAATGGACATATCTAAGTATTTTAAGGCAAATTGGTGTATTTTTAGTCATTTTTGAGAAACTTTTATTTGCGGAGATTTGTTCAGGAACTTATTGGTATAGCATTACATCCATCCATCCATCCATTTTCATCCGCTTATCCGTTACCGGGTTGCGGGGGCAGCAGTCGCCACCCAAATCACATTGCACCGCACCAACCCCCCAAACCTTCCTGCAGGTGATGAGTCCACTGGAAGGTATTAACCGCCCTAACCAGGATTCAAACTTGCCCAGGAGGTGAATCCTGGGGTTCCAAACCAATGACAGAGACATTGCCTCTGGACCAAAGCGCCACTTATAGCATTACACTGTGATCAAAAATTGGTGTGCCAAAAAAGTATATTTTTT